TAACAGCAAACAAACACAAGAAAGTTTGGAAAGTGATTTCCCAGAAATCACTTTCTGCAAAACAAACACAAGAAAGTTTGGAAAGTGTTTTCCCGGAAACCACTTTCCGGAAAACAAACACAGCTAAAAAGGAAAACAATTTCCTGAAAATTAAACAAAATTTTTTTTTGATTAAAAAATATTTTCATTGACCAGAAAATATTTTCTGGAAAACAAAATAGCCTAAGGCTTTTCATCTTTTCGTTGAATTTTCCAGAAAACAAACATAGCCTAAGGCTTTTCATCTTTTCGTTGATTGGAATTCCTACACATTTGTTTATGGCTTTTCTTTCCTTTATGTGAATAGCTATTGATTTATAAGGTTGTGTTTAGTTAATGAAGACAACAGATATGAAAAGAATAGAAGAGATGTAAAATATATTTGTTTTTAAAATAGTTTTGAAATGATTTTTTGTATTTTTAAAATATAAATTATAAAAAAAAACATGTTTTTTATATTATTTTTATCTTTTTTTAATCTCGAGACATTAAATAAATGCTAAAAGCCTTCTCATGTAATATTGAATTAATGTGCAAACCGAAAGATAAAAAGAGAAGGAGAATGTGCTTTGCTCAAGACATTTTGAGATACGATATTAAAGGTGGATTAATGTTGTCTTTTGACTGATGCTTGAGCACTTATAAACGGGCTAACTTGGAAGTATGGTCTCTGTACCTGAGTCCGCAGCAGGTGCTGATCCATGGTGACTTGACTGCCGTTAACTCGTTTTCCACGTCGTTATACCTTGAAAATCACTGTTGTTTTGTTGGCTGACAGAATAACCTATTTAAATTTCTGTTCATGTTTTTTTTTTTTTGTTTCTTCCTTTGTGATTCTTTCAGTTGTATGGCAGATAGCGGCACCCAGAAACGGGTGATTGTTTGTTGATTTGGTGCCAAATCGCCTCTTGCATGGTGTCCAAATTATGCTACTTTTCACAGTTGTAGGGAGATTTTATCCAATGGCTTCCTTCATATTTAGAGCAGCTAAATTTTTCGATTTCTTTGTTACGTGTGCAATTATATACATCAGCTCCTCCATTTTTAGTAGCTGCAATGCAGAAACTGCTAGCTGGTCTTGAATTTTGTCACGAAGAGATTAGTGTGCTTCATGTTTGCTTTGTTTTTTTCTTTGATTGCTTGTAATGAACAATTTGAGGCGTTGCATTCTGCACTCGTTAATTGAAATAACCAAAGAACTGGAAGGCTTGTTTATTTGTCTGATCACCTTAGTCATTTCCCCTTTGGAATCAGGGAACTCTTGAATGATCTCTGTAGTTAGCTCTGACAAGCTTCCTCTTGCAGAAAAGCATGTCTGGTGGTTCGATCATCTCTCCCTTTTCCTCAACCTAGAATTTCATTTCTTTCTGTTTGATTAACTTGTTTCATTCTTGTAACAGGATTAAGGCCTTCTTCGTTATCGCATCGTGGGTCAATTTGCTAGGTTACTAGATTGACGCAATAGATTAATTATCTTAATAAATTCAAATTCATGTTGTTTTTGATAAGTCGCTAAAAAGTTGATTATGCATTCACAGTATAGAATATTACCTCTGCAGGCCATTTCTTTTCGATCCTCAGTATCCACTAATTACAAAACTAATCCTCTATGTCATCAGTCTCAGTACACAAAAGACAATAATCATTTCTCATACTATATTTTCTCAGGCACAACACGGTAAGGAAATCAGGTTTTCATCAGCAGCCATACTTGACAAATTATGGAGCACTACTAAATCCATGTTATCGAGCACTTGTAACCAGTTTTCCGGCCAAGAACTTCAACTAAATTTAGGAATGAGTTTTTTTGGAAACCTAAAAGAACTTGTTTTCTATGCATAATAGTAGGCTCTGAAATTCTTTGACAAGATTTGAGGACGTAATTTCCCACGATATATATCAAGGAAGATGTGACGTCGAAAGAGAGGAATGTCCTGTTGGGTGAAAGGAAAATGATCTCCAAGTGCAAGACAATCAGCATACTTCATCACAAATATACCACAATCTACTCCGCTGCAGTTGCAACAAACAAATCACACATAAATACTCATTAATTAATGGAACTGCAAGCTATTTTGAATTTTCCCAAAAGAGATGGTATGAAAAGTCAAGAAAAAAATTGAACAGAACTTGTCAAACATCTGGTCGCATTGGAGCAAAAGATCTGGCTCAACACTGTCACCATGTCAAACAAACAGAAGAAGACACTGAAAGTAATTAGTTACTTACTTTGTTTGGCGAGGAAGATCCACGGGCTCCAGAAATTGCCATTCTTGTGCATTATCATAACCCAACTTTGGCATTAGGTGCTCTTTAATCCACCTTGAAATTACACCCTTTTTATCATGATGAGAATTTAATGAATCTAACCATAGCAATGCCCTACTCTCTATGTCGACACAGACGAGGATCCAATGATTTTCCAAGCACACTGGAATGAACAACTAAATGGTGATGAAAATGATAGGTACGTTAGAGAATGAATTGAGCAAGTTACAAACAGGCATTGAAATCAGTTGTCTAGCTCAAACATTAAGCTTAATTACCTTTGATGTGCCTGCAATCTCTTCAATGTTTAAGTAAGATAGCACTTTCGACTCGGTCCATTTCCCAGAAAGCAAGAAGCTCTGGTAAATTTTCACCAGAACACAGTTTATAGCAAAAAAATATAGAGAAATAAAAAGGGCCTAGTTCTAATCTCCTTTACCATAATCCAAGTTGGCAACGAGCAGTTCTTCATGTATAAATTAGGAAACTCCATCCATCTCTTCCTCAGCAGCTCGAAATATGCATTAATAACCTTGTTATAAAGACATAAAACAATGGTTTCAGCATTTACATTAGATTTCAATGCAGAAAAGTTGAACAGAAAAATAGAGGAACGGTACATACTGAGTCATCAACGTAATATTGTTTAGCCTCCCAGATTGGGGTGTTAGATGGAGGAATTCTAAGCAAACTTGCCAATGATGTGTCGCAAACGCTCAATTTCTTATCTCTCCCGGCAGAATTCCTGTAAGTTTTTAAGTCACATCTGCATGATTATGACTAATTGATGGGCCATGTAATTGTTAAGATCAAGAGTGATTTATGTGCGCATACCCTGTAAGCCGACGGGACATCCATCTGTTCATTCTTCTAGATTCCCTCTCTGTAAAAGAAGAAACCAAATATTCTCGTACCTCCTATAAATGATTATCACATTCATGTGTTACATTATCATTTGCTATTCACAAGGGTGACTGATACGATGAGCAGAGGATAAATCTAAAGAAACTTGAGGAATAGGCTTTTAATCTTCAACCGATGACTAACTGCAAGAATGGAACAAATGTTGATTAAGCATTCACAGTACAGAATGATACCTCTGCAGACCATTTCTTTTGGTTCCAGAATATCCCAAGTGTATTAGAATTATCGTAAGCACTGTCATCTTCAGAATCTGAAGAGCACACTTCCTCAGGCTCAATTACTGAAGATACACTTGCATCTTGAATTGTAATGGGATTACTAATGCCAACCCCTTGAGTGATTAAGATTTTTCACAAATTCAGAAAATACAAATGAGCACAATTACTTGATGATTAAACATAGGAAAAGAAGAGGAAGAATGCAAGATATTATTTACCTCTACTAGACTCAGTTGGATCGATGGGTTCCCACAATGAAGCAAAGAACAGTGGGTGACCATGAAATGGGTAGAACATAGGAAATTTATAAGTAGTTCCGAACAAGCTGGATGCGTTCTGAAATGGACGGAACCCTGCACCACGCAATCGTTCTTTCCACTGATCAAATGTCTGGTGCCGCTCAACCCTGTCGATGCCCTTACATGCAACAACATTGCTAATCTGTCGTCTCCAGTGCCTCTCCAGTATCTCTTCTCTATCTGGCTCACCAGAAAAGCAATTAAAATGATCAAAAACTCTAGAGTAGTATTGGAAAGACAGGGCAAAACGGTCAAAGAAATCAGGACTGTTGTGATCGGCTTCCTGCTCATTAATCAACATAAATTTTGGTTTCAGCTCCTTCAGTTTTGAAAGTACTCTCTCGATTGCTCCCTCAACGGCAAGCAATTTGTGGAGTTCAAATTCCCATCTCACTATAACTATCTCATCATCGCTTGTGCTTTCCAGTTTGAGTACACATTCTTCTATAACAGCAGGAATATTGGCTTCAAATTGTTTGAGCTGGAAATCGACGTTCAACTGTCGTGCCAGTTCAGTGAGTTTTCGTTGCCTTTCTTGGATATGGTTGTTGTCTTTACACGGATTTGGCCCGATATTAGTTAACCGGAATACTCTACTGGGCAGAAACAACAAAGAATCATATTCCCGGGTGCCTAGCATGATGGAAAAGTCAATGAAGTGGACTGGTTGCTTTCCAATGAAATAGGCAGCGGCAAGGTAATCGATGGTGGCAGGGATGATTTCAAAATAACGAAGAGAACGTTGGGTGTTCACAATTGAGGATGGAAGCAACGGAAAAGGATTTCGAGGATACACTCCATGGACTCGCCTAGCCAGAGCTTCAGCAAAGTAGCTGACAACTTTTTTTGTCACTTCACTGGTTTCCTCGGCAGTCAGACCTCCCATTTCCTCAAAAAGAACATCTGCAAGTTTGAGATTACCAACTGCAACTGCCTTGGCACAAGCCATCAATTTGTTGACCAGAGGAGAGCTCATTTCTGTAAGCACCAAATTAAGATCCGGTGGCCCTGTCATGTGGATGGATAAACAGAATACATGGTGATCTCTTTTCTTTCTTTGGTAGCTTATAACGAAGTATTCGTGATCCATCAGCCCCCCATTCCCTTCCTCCCTCTTTCCTCGTTTTTTTTCCTTTTCTTTCTTTTTCTTTATTGACTATGAATTGCTTTGTTCCTGCAAGTCAATGGCGGGCAGGCAGGTACTCTCTGTCCACACACATTTGCCAACCAATATATTTGCTTGACTCCCACGCAAGACCATCTTCTTTTGGTCGAATCTAGCAGGACCCGACCTTACAAGCTTCCTTTCTTCCAAGTTGTATGGCTCCTTCCTTGAAACACTCCATTAAACAAAGTCATGAATTGCTTCATTCTCCGCCACCAATTAATCATTTTAGTTTAAAATTCTTTTTCCATCACCAGATCATCATATGTATTGATATATTTAGCGAAATTTATTTATGCGCAGCACACAGCCCAAGGGCGGAGGAATGTTAAAGGTTTGGGTAGCTATAGTTCAGGTTAAAAAATTCATAATTTTTTACTGAGTTAAAAAATTTGCTGTGTATCTTTCTTCTAAGTGTTTTAGTTTGGATTAAAATTTTAAAATTTTTATAGAGAAATTTAGAAATTTAATAAAAAATCATAATTTAACTAATTTTATATTATTGGATGTAATTTTTAATCTGATCATCAAATTGAGCTGAAATTTTATGAAAAATCTTAAAATATATTGAATAAAATCTAGTTAAAATTTTAGGATGAACGGAGCTTGGTAGTGCTAACAAAAAAAAATT